AAATTAAACGAATATTATTTCGTTTAATTTTGGCAACACTCTGACCACAACTCCTCGAAAACGTACTTCAAAAGCAAATGCGCACCTTCTGGTCAGGTGAGTGGTTCCAATGGTGCTAGACGGCTGTTGTTAGTTCAAACTTATCTTCCTCCTTCACTCTTTTTGGCATTTTTCAGTCTTATCACCTTCATATGCACATGTCTAATGCCATTAGTGTGCATGCAATAGTACGGGAAGAGTGTGGGAACTAGCAGATGTTCACACCCGCAAGTGAATATCCATGAGGGTAGAGGACAAATGCTCCCTACATATTTTGTCAGGGTTATATTCACAAAGCAAGGAATGAAAACGTAGATGCTTAGACACATCGAAAGACCAGCAACACGCCAGGTGTCCGATGGTCTGCTTTGCACGACCTGTATGTAGCACAGTGTTACATAGTGTGTCGAAAGTTGGCTGAGGAGCACTTGCCTGGCGTTGGCAGGCAGCTTCCGTTCACTCAGATTGCTTCCACGTAAGCGGAAGTCTTTGGTAATTGTCTACAGTTTGGGTGAACGCAGCACAGAAGGATTCTGCTTGCAAGCAGGGCTGTGGTTGCATAGTGTATCCCCAGTTGGCTCGCTCGCGCGGCCATAGTAGGCATCATTCATGCAAGTAGGAAGTCTCCATGTAAACAGAAGTCATCAACCACTTCCCACAGTAGTTGTAAGTGCTGCGTCGGGTACGTGCTTGTGCCTGCATGCGGGTAGTCTGGATGCATGAGTTCCAGCAAGGCGTATCGGAGCTTTCCACCGACTTCCTCCCTCCATCAGCTGCAGGTGCCTGTGCCACCACCACCAGAAAGCTTGGAGACTGTGGGAGTCAACTGATTTTTGCCAAGCATTGTTTTTGATTCATTGTCGATAGCAGTAGTACTTAGATCGGCTCAACCACCCGCCGTAACACTCGCTAACATTGAAGCGCATATTTTGGGGGGCTGTAGTTATGTTCAATGGAGCTAAACACCACACAAGGACGGCCTGCTCAACATCAGTGTGTGGAGGACCAAGTGCATCCATATATATATGGATGAACTTGTAAAAGTCCTTGTAAAATGTGAGCGTTTCATTTCTATTGCTGAATGGTTAGGTAGGAGCTGCACTCAGGTGGAAGTGCAGGTAACGGGGAAATCTTATGAAGGAGTTGAGGAACATTAAGGACTGGAAACCATCGACGGCGCGCTACATTCAGAAGTATTAATAGCATTGATGAACAGAAATCGAACAGTCAGCTGGAAACTTCTGGATGCAGCGGTTCGCCGATTGTTCTCAGTTCTTAAGGTTCCTCAAATCCTTCATAGGCTTTTACCTTGCTGACCTAGAATAGACCTATATCGCAATGCATACGCCCAGCTTCAACACCACGGTTCATAGGAGGGTTGTGACGGTTACGCGGGTCCTCTGAATTATTCGAGTAGTATTGTGCGCTGAGTCGATACCAAAATACTTATGAGAAGGGCTCCATAAGTGCATCTGAGCTCCCTCCCCAATCTCCAGGCTTGTTGAGCGGAGGGGCTCAAGTTCCTTGATGTGTGGGAGAGTAGGAGGCATGCGACGAGTTGCAACTCGCCTTGCTGGAACTAAGGTGGAAATTACCCCCGGCAAAAGACACAGACAAGCCTTCTTGGCTCTATGAACGAACCGTGAACACAGTTGTAGAGAACTTTTACTTGCGTATTTATGCGTTCGTCTAGTAGGAAGGCTAAGGGTGCGCCACCCATGATTCTTACTCTCAGTTTGAAGTTTCAGAGGATATGTCCATGGTTGTGGGACTTTTCTTTCGGACCCAGACAGCTCGGGCGGTGAACAAACAGTAATACCCTATCTACACGACAGAAGCATACGCCACACCAAAACAAATGGTAAGGAAATTCGGGCAGCAACTGAGCTCCACCATATCCAATGAACTTCAAGAAACCTCTTTCCACTTGTTTGGTTCCGTTCGATGGTCCGCCGTTGGACAAACCGCTGGTAAGCAACACAGAGCAGTCGATGACCGCACCGCAGCTTCAATTACACGCCAATCCCACAGAGAAGCTGTATCCGACGCTGAACACCTTCTGCATGCAGTTTGGTGCATATACAAACATATTTTATAATTTAGCGTCGTTTTTTGAATTAATTTAAACACGGGAATTTACCTGAGCTAAATGCCATCGCGCCAACCACAGGGTAGCGCTGTACCCGCGTAGTCTAATTGGGTGCACAAACCTAATTACACGAGCTTACTTCTCTGCTATAACGATGATGATTGCAATCCCTACAGGTACCAAAATATTCCATTGAGAGTGCACAAACCTTGTGCACTCCCAAGCCTAAACTCAGCCCATTACACTAAAAGTTACTAGGTTTCCCCAAACTTCACCCCAAGAGCAGTTCTGTTAGATCGAAAGGCCGATCTAGAAAATCTAATTGTCTCAGCAGCCCACGATGCCCTTGGGCACGCGTCGCAGTTGCGAGCAGTACCCGGGCCCCAGGGGCGTGGCGTTAGGTGATCGGCAACTAATGGCTTCGATTTTATAAGGAAAGATTCATTAAATATCCATATGTTTCTTCTTACTGTTTCGGAAGCCTAAATCCGGTACATTGTAGTGCCGGGCAATACACCCAGCCAGCTCCGTACATCTCTATTTCTCGAGAGAGTCTCCTCCTCCATTTCTCAAGAACATTGTTCACCTGCTTAGCAAAAGGCAAATGCATGCTTCCCGGTCATGTACTTCTTTCCGTATAGATAATGCATTCTCAGGCAAAAGACGCAAGTCTTACATGGTTAGATTGGTTGCGCCGCCAACGAGGGACAGGTGACGCAATCCATATCGACACCCCACATAACTCCGAAAATACCAACGAAACTGTTCCGGAAGATGGGAAGTTCGCCTTACGGAAGTGTATGGGAAAGCAAGTTGGGGTGACCAGGCCATTGCTTGCCGTCTTTTTACTGCTTCTCATTTCAGGAATTATTTGCCGGGTGTCTAGCAGGCGTGATTCCCCTAAGTTGAGCTCCCCCAGGTTAAGCTCCCCCAGGTTAAGCTCCAGCAGGTTAAGCTCCACAAGGGTAAGCTCCGAAAACAAAACGGCCTCTCTCTCTACCGATGATGCAATCATACGGAGGTATTTGGATGATCTCTACGATGCACAGGACCAGATGAATCTGGGATGGAAAGCCTCCGAACATTCTGTGCGGAAAGCTTTTCAGAGGCATTTCACGCCGTCTCTCAACGACGGTCAAGCGCTCACCGAAGATCCGTTGGCAACCGTCAATGACCACGTGGCGCAGGTGCGAGAGTGTGCATCCCCATCTGATTCTTCTGCGAAGGTGCAGAGTGATTTCTTACAACACGTGCAGCTGTTGCTCAGCATTTGCCGCATGGTCACGCTTCGCCTAGAGCAACTGAAGTGGGACAAAACTTTGTCAAATAAAAACTCAGCTCCATGCAGTAGTTCCCTTATCCACGAATATCCTCATAGTAATTCTGACCGTGAAGGTGCCTTCGGCATCAACGAAGAGCCTCATAGTAATTCTGATCATGATGGTGCCTTCGGCATTTACTCCTCAGTGAAGGCGGATAACATCTTGGATACCGCGTGGGTGGTTGGCAGTGAACAGGGACAGTTAGTAGGAGAAGAAGTAGACGAAACGCCTGACGCCGAAGTTCCACTAAGTTCTCCTTCCCACGAAGAGCCTGATAGTGATTTGGGACTTGAAGACCCCTTTGGTATTTCTTCGTCGGTGAAGGCGGATGACTTCTTGGACGCCGTGAGGATTGTTCGGAGTGGACGGAGAGAGTCAGTGGATGGAGAAGTAGCCGACAGAAAGTACCATGAAGTTCAACGCAGTTCTCCTGTCCGCGAAGAGCTTGATAGTAATTCTGGCCTTGACAAATATGGCATTTATTCCCAGGTGACGTCGGCTGAGTTCTTGGAATTTTTTGGGATATTTAGTAGTGAATACAGACGGAAAGTGCCTAGTAAACAAGCAGAGGGACTCTTGTTTCAGTTGCACCTAGATGAAAGGCGTAACACCTTCAACTTGGATGCCAGATATTACTTTGAGCGCTTTCTCCAAGCATGTGAAGAAGACGGCCCCGTCGACGCCACTCCTTCCACTGCCAATCACAAAATTCCTTATAGTGGAAGACCATTTAGATCTGGTGCTCTCGCACAAGCAGCTGCCCATATATTTCGCCTATCGGAAGGCAGTACGAACTATGCTAGGATACGCAAGGTGCACCAGATCGCGGATAACTGGACAAGCGAAGGAGTGCTGGAGGCTACAAAAAGGCAAGAGGAAGAAAATGCGTACAGCTTAAAGCAGCGGTTGCAGATTAAAAGGGAACAAATGCGTGTGATGCTGAAGGAGGGCATACAAAACGGCGATTTGGAAGTGATTGCATTGTTCCTTCTGTAGTCTACTCGGTATTCTTTTCTTGAGTGTTACGGAAGGTGATATCACTTCTATGGCGTGGAAGAGGTTTGCGTCTGTTGTAAACGGACATGCGGCTATTCATGTTGCAGTCTAAACAAATGACACCCATCATGGCTATGACAGGGTCTGTTAATTCTGTGCTGAGCTGAGTGGACGCATTCAATAGGTACTGAGGCAGCTGCTGTCTCGTTTGCCGTATGAACGTTTATGTTCCCAAACAATGCATAATCCTGTTTCCCAGGTAGCCGGACCACTTGTGGCTACACTTGCATAGTGGCACGTGTTGCAGGAGTGCTTGTTTCTGGTGGTCCAGCGGAGGCGATCGCAAGTACAGAAACGCATTGGATTATCGGGAATGTCCGCATTTTGAGTTCCTTGATGACTCGTTTGGACTGCAATTAGAAGGTATTGCCATCCACAGCTAGGAGGCTCTGCATCTGGAGCCCCCAACTGGGGGGCAAGCAGGACTACCACCCAGGTTACGGCGGTGCAGCAGAGCCAACAAACGACAGCAACGGGTACAGAGAAAGCACGTGCCCCCCAAACGATCCCAAAATAGATCTTAGGTACTGCAGATCCGTTGACAACCCTTCCATTGAAGGGATTGTCAGCAACTCGGATTGGTCTTTGCCCGATCCGACCTTGCCCTTCTGTGCAAACTGTATGGACAGTAGGTATTCTACTCCAACGTTTTTCACTATCGTTTTTCACTATTGTTTCAATGATCACATGAGGATCCTTTTTACTATGGTGCTTATTTTGTCAACTCATTTGAACCCAAACCTTTTCGAACATGAGCTCCAGCTTGAATACCCCAAGCTCTCTCTGTCCCGCTGCTCCCCTAACAGATCGTTCAGCTACCGCGCCTAGTGTTTTTGCACACCTTTGCACCAATAGAAGACTACAGGTTTTGCAACAATTTACTTGTTCATATAAGATAATGGAGGACCAGCGGCACGTCACAGATCCTTCTACACTTTTGACCGCAGAACTACCACGAGGGTGAGTTCGAGCAGCTGAGCGTGGCCCAGATAACAGAGAAAGCGGGGGGGAGCCACGGTAAGGCAAGGTTTTTGTTTCGCTAAAGTCCAGAGGAAAAGAAGTTTGAACTGCAACGGCCCTACTCGTTACTTTCCTCGTGATGCGTCGTTCCAGGCCCGTCACAGCTTGTCCACCATGTTGAGACTATTGCTGCAAACGCCTCAGTTACAATTGGAAGGCATGAACCTGCAGACGTATGCTGATGATTTCAACGAAGCAGCGGACGCGATGAACAAGGAGTGGGAGTACTCAGAACAATTTACCTCAACTAGACTCGATCCTCAGAATGAGGTCGTTTATAAGCAGCTTACTTGACGCATTTAACTTCCCCTTATACGTAAACTCTTCACATAGAACACTGAAATGATATGTAAATTCCACGCCATAGACCCTTAACACTGCAAGCGGAAAATGGTGCCCTTTAAAGTAGACCCTGATCCCTAGTTATAGGCACTGCCCCCTTGAAGTTCAAACAATAAAAAACAAAAGTGTGGCAGGTCTAATCACTAAGCCAGAGAGAAAGAGAAAGAATGAAGGAAATGGAAAAGCACAAGGCGGAAGACATGCGGCGTGGGCTTCCAGAGTGATCCGCAGTGAACCCCCAAAATCCAAGCAAAACTGCTAGTGGCTCGACAAAGACTATTTTAATGTCCTAACCCAAGATTAAACGAATATTATTTCAAGATAAAGCCACAATACTCCGGTCACAACTTCGGGAAACCTGAGTTGGAAGGCGCTGGCACAGATTATGGTATGTTGTGTGGCGACAATGCTGCTATACGGGTGCTGTTAATACAAGCTTGTCTCCCTTCACGATTCTTTGTAGTATTTTTTCAGCCTTATTGACCTTACTTGTGCGTGCTTAATCTCGAGATCTAACATTTGAGTGCGCATGCAATAGCACGGGGAAAACGTGGAAACTCACAGGTGTTCACATCCCCACGTATGTATGCGTAAGAGTGGAAAACACATGCCCCTTACATATGCTATCATGGTTTTACTCACAAAGTAACGAATGTAAACGTAGATGCTAGGCACATCAAATGGCCAACAGCATGCCATTTGCCGTATGGCTCCTTAGCCTAACGTGAAGCATGGGCTGTAGCATAGTGTGCTCGAAGTTGTCAGATGAGCACTTACGTGGAGCTAGTAGGCAGCTTTAGCTCAAATGCCCGCAAGTAGAAATCTTCGATGATTGTCTTCAGTGCCGGTGAATGCAGCCCAGGAGGATTCTGCTTGAAAGCAGGGTTTTCGAAGAACAGTCTGACCGCAGTTGACTCAAGAACAGTTACTCGGGCATACTCGTCATCCGACACTCAAGGAGGAAGCCTAGCGGCCGGCGAAAGTCGTCAACATTTCCCTAACAGTGCTTCATTGTTGTCTCCTCAAGTGCACCCGAACTCCCTCCCTCCTCTCCCAGTGTCCCGACGTGAGGTTTTATCACAGGTATTTTGTCTTAATGTCTCAATGGCGGCGGTTCGAATGAATGTGTAGTACCGAAGGCTTATAGTTTGGAGGGTTTAAGACCCAGAGGCATTTGCGGAGTTTCTCCACCCCCTTGAGCGTGTGAGAGGAAGTGGCCTGCCGGAAATGGCCTGCCACGAGTTGCAACGCGCCTTGCTAGAACTCAAGGTGAAGGATACCCCCGATGTAAACGCAAACAAGCCTTCTTGGCTCGATGCACAAACAGTGTGTAGAGGTGTTGAGAACTTTTACATGCATACTTGTGTACCTTTTGTCTAATAGGGAGTCTATGGGTTCTCAGCCCATAATTTATTACTCTCAGTTTAAAGTTTCACAGGATAGGCGTCAATGGGTGCGGGACTTTTCTTTCGTAGCCACAGAGCACAGCCGGTGAACCGAAAGTAAAATCCCATCTGTACACCAAAGCTGTACGCTACACCACAACAAATAGCTAAACAATTCAGGCAGCAAGTAAACTCCACTAGTTCCACTAAAATTCAATGAACAGCTTGTTAATAATTTAGTTGGCACGTATGTTCCACCATTGAAGGACCGAT